CCCTGTGGTATTTTGTCATACATTCTGCTTGTATATTCTATATTGCTATATAAACCCTATAACACATATATTTATAAGTTTCTCTTTTAATGTATTTTAAAATTTTTTAAAACAAGAGAAGTCTTTTATACTCTACATTTTCAGTGTTTTTATTCCTTGAGTAGGTTCCATCCAACATGATTACCCTTTTATCTGAATGAATGTTTCATTTAACAGTTCCTGAATCTATGTGATCAATTCATTCCATTTTTTGTATGTTTTTTACTTCATCTCCATTTTTAAGTTTATTTATTTATTTTGAGGAAGAGAGAGAAGTATGAGCAAATGGGAAGGGTCAGAGAGGAGAAATCCCAAACTCCGCGTGGTCTGAGCAAAAGAAGCCCAGCTGCAGAACTCCTAAACTGTGAGATCTTGACCTGGAGGCAAAGTCAGATACTAACTGACTAAACCACAAGGCACCCCAATTCATCTCCATTTTAAAAAAAATTTTTTTAACATTTATTTATTATTGAAAAGACAGAGACAGAACATGAGCACTTGGAGGGCAGAGAGGGAGACACAGAGAATCTGAAGCAGGCTCCAGGCTCCAGCTTAGCCAGCACAGAGCCTGACATGGGGTTCAAATCTGCAAACTGCGAGATCTTGACCTGTGGAGGTAAAGTAGGCAGCTTAACAGGACTGAGCCACCCAGGAGTGCCCCTCATCTCCATTTTGAACAGTATTTCATTCTCCATTTTGAACAGCTGAGTATAAAATCCTAAGTCAACAGTTTGTTTTGTGACGCTTTTTTATTTTTAAGTAGCTAAAGATTTTGCTCAAGTTTTTTCTGCATTGTTTCCAAAGTGTGCTTTTATTCTTAACCTTCCTCTTTATGTAGTGTGTCTTTTTTCTCTGAGTGCTTTTAATATTTTTCTTAGCCACTGATATTAATTTGATTATAATGTGCTTGGTGTGGCTTTATTCCTGTATCAAAGTTTCATTGAGCTTCTTGGTTTGTGGGTGCATAATTTTTATCACATGTGAAAAACTTTTCAGACGTATCTCTTCAAGTATGTTTTTGTTCCTCCTTCTGGAACTCCAGTTACACAGCTCATATAAAGCTGTTTGAAATTGTCCCACAGTTCACCAGTCTTTTATTATCTTTTGATTCTGTTTCATTTTGGATAGTTTCTACCCGTTACATCTTTAAGTTCACTTAAATCAAGTTCACTACTCTTTTCATTTGCAATGTCTAATCTGCTCAATTCCACCAGTGTATTTTTTCATTTTAGACACTGCATTTTTAACTTCTAAGTCTGACTTGGGTCTTTTATATTTGTGCCTTCTTAATCTTTCGCGCGTAGCTTCCCTCTGCCTTTTTGAACATATGGACATTTATGTTATTTTAAAGTCCTGGTCTACTAATTCCCTTCATTTGTGCCATTCTTGGTTTGTTTTTTACTGATTCTTTTTACATCATCACAGGTGTGGTTTTTCTACATCTTCGCAGATGTTGCAATTTTTCATTTGATGTGAAGACAATTTTTATGTTGTTGGATGCTGGATTTTATTGGTCTTCTAAGCACTTTCAGGTTTTGATCTGGGACAATTATTTGGAAATAACGGTCCTTTGAAGGCTTGATTTTGTGTGTTTCCTAGGCTAAATCAGGACAGCCTTTCATCTACGGCTAATTTCTACTGCTGAGGCAGTTCCTTTACTATAACTCAATACCACCGCCAGATATTACAGGGTTCTTCCACTCAAGCTTGGGAATGTAAACTAGTTCCGCCCTTGTGTGTACTCCCAAAAATGTTCTGCCTGCTTCTTTCAGTGGTTCATTCACTCAGTATGGGGTAAGTTTCCCCACATGCACATACTGATCAGCACTCAGTGTAGGCTCAGAGAAATTCCCTGAAGGTCTCCAGAGCTTTCTCCCCTGCTCTACTCTCACTGTCTTGCTTTGCTCTACAGAAATTCTAGCTGCCTTTACGGCCCTTCCAAATTTTCAATTCTGTCTCCCAACTCGGGATGGCTGCCGGGCTGTGTGTGGGCTCTATTCATTAGAAGAAGTCACTAGGTCAGTCAGACTCAAGCAGGGGATTACACAAACAGAGGGCAGAGATCATTAGGTACCATCTTGCGCCTACCACAAGCTGTATTCTGTCAGATAAGAAACGCTTGTAATGTACTTATGAATGTTGTTTATCCATATTTCTAACTTTCTGTCTTCTGGAAATTGCAATTCCTGGCCCCCTCGTGATTACCTCAGAGCCCATGTGACTAGTTTTGGTGGGTTAACAACAGCCAAAAGTATGCTACGGTATAAGATCCTCTTTCTCTCTGCCACTAAAGCCAGAACTGAAATCATGGTAGCTCAACGGGCGCCAGGGTGACGTAAAACATAGTCTGAATACCTCCCAAAAAAAGACATGGATCATGTGCCAAAAAAAAACAAACCTTTATTGTTTTTTACACGGCTGAGGGTAGGGAGTTAGTGGTTACCATAACTTAGCAAAATGTATCATGACTTCTACAGACTTGGGGTCCAGACCTAAGAACTGCCATAACAAATCATGTCCATTAGGATGAGTGGTCAGGCAGCTTGGGTGACAAAACTGTTACTGGAAGCTGAAAAGGACAGTTATTTATGTTATTGGTGACAATTGGGAAAAAGTCTTTGCAAAATTCCTGTGATAACCTAGAAGAAGACAGATGATTTACTGATGAATTTGAATTCTAGGGGAAGAGTGAAAAGAACACAATGTTGGTAACACGTTGAATTTATGCTTATGTGACAAGTTATGAAAGAGATGGGCTCAGAAATGGAGTGTGCCAACAAGGACTAAAAATGAATGAGCCTCACAAATTCTAACTTTTATTTAAGTCGCCAACTGGGAGAAAATTAAGAGTATAATTTTCTTGGAACACGTTATGTATGCCCCCTCAGAACTCTGTAACAATTTGAAGGTCGTCCAGTACTAAATGTACTCTACAGGAATCCAACAAATCCTGTTTTTCTCTACCACTACCTACTTCTTTCTCTTGACTGGAGGTACCCAAAAATTCTTTCCTGAAAACTGAGTGGCTTAACTATAGCGGCTCTATCTCGTGTTGACTGTCTGAGAGAAATTTTTCCATGGATCGTGGTATATCCTCTTTTACCAGTATAATTAACTTAATCTATTATAGATATTTCTATACACATTACTCAGTATTCATCATTGATGTACTCTATTTTCTTATAATCCTTAATCCTGGTTTCTTTTTAATCTACAGATTTTCTTTCCTTTATTATGTTTTATATCAGTAAGGACATTTCTTCTTCCAGTTGCTGTGTTCTCTATTCAGGGGGCACTTATTAATCTTATGTTGAGCTATCTTTGTCTCTTTCATAGATATTCTAAGAGCTCTAATACCTTTGTCCTTGCCTCAGCATTCTGCGTGATTCTCTCAGACTTCTCATCTACATCCAGTTATTTGATTTTCAGCTCTCTAGTCATAACTTCCTCGTGCTTCTAATTCTTCTTTTCTAAAACTAAGTTTTCCACTTACAGCTAAATTTGAAAAGGTAACTCATATATTCTTTTTCACTGTGTTTGTATCAGAGGAGGTATACTAGAGCTCGCTACTTATTGTGTGCAACTCTTTACATCCCAACCCAGACTGACCTACTTAGCTCTATCTATTGAACTTGAATAGCTTAAATGGTCTCAATCCAACTAATTAGGAATGTATTCAACTCCAGGATTACGCTCAAATATATGACTTGGTGTGAACTCCTGTTAATCCTAGAAAGTTCTTCTGCTTGTACATATAGTTGGTATATAAGGTTCTACCTTGATTCTTAAGCAGAATGGCCTGTTAATTAGGATGCTTTTCCAGACTGAAGTTATAAGCAGACTATTTGGACTGTTGTTGTTGTTGTTGTTGTTGTTAGGACTTTCTTAATTTAACTTGTTCCCATGTGTGACCTCTGGGGAATAATGACTTAGACCTAACCCACAGTATGAGAGAGATAGGGCTCTGAGGAGGCCAGGAGCCTGCCAGATGAGCTAGCACATAACTCAGCATGAGCCCTGCTTCCTCACTGTAACAAACTGGACAAACTTTGCAAATTCACAGAAAGAAACCCCAGACTTTGGGAATTCAGCACCAAGGCGATGAGGCATTAATATGCGGATGTTCTAGACTACACCCTCCACCCCTGACTCCATGCTCACCAATAAGCAGTTAGAGTAAAAATTCAGCAATTGCAAAACATTCTTGATTAAAGCATTTGTAGACAATATGAATTTCAGTAAGAGAGGGTGTGGGGTTCTTCATTGAAATCTGGTCTGATCAGAGTTCAGAGTATTGTTCAGTGTTTGACCCACTTTCAGTACTTGGTAATTTTCAGAATGCCTGATTTTTTTTTTTTTTTTTTAGTCTTCTTCCTTCCATCTAGTTTACATAAATCAAATACCTAGTTTAATTTCATCTCTTCCGACCCGAACTACTGTTCCGGAAGCTGATCATCCTCATTCACTACCCTTACGGTCAGCAACACCGCGGTATTTTTTTGTTGGTATTTCGTGTGCCTTGCTTAAGATTATCTCGCTTCTTGGGCGGATCTATGCTTGATTTCTTCTGAATATCCTAGAGGGGGAGGCTGAAAGTTAATGTTGGGGGTGCGCCTGGGTATTGTGGCTCGTCGTTTGGGCGTCCGACCGGGTCATGATCTGCAGCGGTCAGTGAGTTCGGCAGCGTCGGTCTGTGCTTTGCCCGGCAGCTCAGAGCCTGGAGCCTGTTTCTGTGTCTCCCTCTCTCCTGACCTTCCCCATTCATGCTCTGTCTCTCTCTGTCTCAAAAAAATGAATAGCGTTAATTTAAAAAAAATTTTTTTTTTTAAAATAGAGATTAATGCTGGAAGCATACAGCTTCAACGAACGTGACTGGGTCTCTGAAGCGTTTTGTCAAAGTTAACAGCCCTAGTTTCGGGTGTACCCAACGCGCCTATTTGGGGTTTCTTTGTGCTCATCACCGTTTTCTGTTAGAACAAAGAGCTTGTTGGCTAGACGCATTAAAGCAACGTCCCAGGGTGTGAGACTGAACAAAAACTAGACCTCTGATAACCCATAAGCAGTTTAAAGACATACATTTTAAATCCCACCCAAAGCCCTAGTTACCCGCCAGTTACCCCACTCTGGGCGCTGCCGAAGCTCAAGATAATTGCAGTTAAGGATCCAGGTCCGAGGCCCGATCGCTATGGTAACAGTGGGACACCAAGCGCACTTGCGAGGCCGCTTCGGACGGAAAAACAGCGAACCTAGAGGAGGCGTAGCGACAGCAGCAGCAACGACTTGCGGCAGCAACTTGACTTACGGCTGCCGGGCGGCTTCAGACTCAGCTCGGGAGCCGGGCGGGGAGTACGAACGCGACCCGCCGGCTCCCGGGTGCTCAGTCCGGACCCGCAGCAGCATGACCCAGTCGGTGGTCGTACAGGGTAAGCTGCGCGGGAGGATGAGCACCTTGTCATACGCAACCAACCGGCCTTGTTTTTCTCTATTAATACTCTCTTTCCCTCCTTCCTTGCTTTCATGATCGCAGTCAGCCGGTGCGGAAACCAGATCGGCTGCCAGGATCTGGCGCTGGGGGGCACGCCGCAGTCGCCAGACATGACCCACCCTCCGAGACCACCCGCCTGTTACCGATGCTCGCGCAACCAAATAAGCAAGGGGAACAAGCAACAGATAATGTAAATAAGCAAATCAGTCCATTTGACCTTTTATCTAACTGATAGATACTGATAGAGGTTGTATAGGGTCTTCTCAGAGAAACACAAACTGGTTTTAAGCGTTTGGTGGCGTTAGACCCAGAACAAACGCTAGCAAATATCTTAAGTCTTAAGTCTCCCTCCCTTCCATGGGGTCTCATTTTGCTCGGATTCTTTTGAAGAGCAATGCACGATAGTATTTGGGGAAAGTACTTTGTAAAACAGGCAGCGTGTGTGTTATTATATTCCTGAATTTGATCAACTTTAAAATGATCACCAGGGTGGAAAGCGCTCTTTTGATGCACCTGTTCTGCAATCTATACGGCTTCTTTCTTTAGCGCCTCAGCTAAACTTTATCCATAGATCCTACGGCATTTACCTTTTAGGAGGAAGAAGTCTGAGCATTTTTTATTAACTTGCATTTTTGTTGTTGTTATCATAGCCAAATACCAGCCATTACAATATTGTGAGAATATTAAATCGAAGGATTTCATTTGGGAAAAGAAGCAAGCAATCAAATGCTATAAATATATTTTTTTCTTTTTAGAAAGGAATTTATGACGAGGCAATAAGCTTGCTTCTTCGAGATGTGTGGATACTCAGGTAGATAAGGATTAAAAGTCACAATCACATAGCATAATGATTCTTTTCATGTCCTCAGATTGGGAGAGAGGAATTCTTCAAAGGATAATTAAATAGTTGGTAACTATAAAAGAAGTGGGTTGTTTGTTAGTTTGTTTTTCTCTCCGGTATTATTTTTCCCATTATTATTCCCATATCATTAATATTTCTCATATTATTCTGCAGAGCAAGACAGGTTTTCCTTTTAAGACCATGTTGGGAACAAAAGAACAGCACAGTGGACATGCTTTTAGCTTATGACCTTGAAATAAGTTTTACTGAAGGACTGCTGAAGAAAATTTCCCTCAGTGTATTATCTTGTTAATGCATTCAGGAATGGCCAACTTTTTTGAAAGAAAAAATGTGTTTTTTTTTTACACTTCTGTGATAATATTTGATTAAAGAATATTTGCTCTATAAATGAATGTGCTAAAAGGAAGGAAGAAACAACTGTCAAATTACTGTTGATTTTAATAAAGAATCCTATATATTATCTTTTACCTGAGAGAGTAATTTTTTGACATTCATTGTGTCACACATTAATGTTTAGTTTGTCGTTAAGTGTGTGTTTACTTAAACTGTGGTGGACTTGAACTGAAGTCTAGTGAATATCCATCTTTACGTAATTCAATAAAAATTCTGGTTCTAGTTTGAATTAGTTTGTTGGGTATTTGAGGGGAATGATTATCTCCTAGAGAAAGCTAATGAACCCTTACTTCCCTGGTGAATTCAGAGTCTGACCTCGAGCTTGTAAACTTAGAAAACTTGTTGACATCTTGAGAATAAGTCCATTGCTCTCCAGCACGAATTACGGTAAACAAACTCAAGAGAATGGGAGATTAAAAAGAAAGCGAAAGGACCAATGTAGAAGATTGACAGTAGACTGACGGTAACTCAGAGCACTAGATTTTCCTTTACTTTGAAAGTGCATTCTCTTCTGTAGGAAATCTACCTGAAAAGCTAAATAGTAGAAAGTTGCTTGGTGACAGATGGAATCAGGCCAAGGAAGTTAGGTATGAGTACCTTAATGGCTGGTGTCATTTATTTATTTTTATTAATATTAATATCTGCCATCTGATTCCCGAACCTAAAACTAGGTGACACATCCTTTCCCCTAAATACTGTTAAGAACTAAGAATTTGCCTTTTTGTAATACTTCCTTTTACATCTTCTAACTAAATTTCACTCTCATCCCCTCTGCCTAGGATGGCCAATCCTTTCACTAAGTATTACTTAGTTTGAGGGCACCTGGGTGGCTCGGTTGAGCATCTGACTTTGACTCAGATGCGTGATCTCACGGTTCATGAGTTGAGCTCTGCATCGACTCTGCTGTCAACTTCTGCCTGTTGGTATGATAGAAACAGGCTTGGATCTCTGTCTCTCTCTGCCTCTCCTGCTTTAGCTTTCTCTCAAGTAAAAAATTTTCTTCAAGCATTACTTAGTTGAGACTCAGTCTGGCAGCTGTTAGGTTCTTAATAATTGACTACATAACTGTACTCTTACCTGCTGTTTTGTAATTTAAACCTGAAAACATTCTTACTTCCCCAATCCCGAGTTTCTCCAAAAAGGGCTAGTCTTGGTATCTTGGTATTCTATCTTTGCTATCAACACCTGGGAGCCTCCCACATTAATACAAACAAATCTTTCAAAACCAAGACGAGCGCCTGGGTGGCGCGGTCGATTAGCGTCCGACTTCAGCCAGGTCGCGATCTCGCGCTGACGTGAGTTGAGCCCAGCGTCAGCTCTGGAGGCTGATGGCTCCAGAGCCTGGAGCCTATTTCCGATTCTGTGTCTCCCTCTCTCTTGCCCCTCCCCCGTTCATGCTCTGTCTCTCTCTGTCCCAAAAAATAAATAAACGTTGAAAAAAAAAAAATTTATAAAGACCACATATTTGTATACGCTTCCATATCTGTTGACAAGATGACCATACCTTTTTAATAGCATACTAGGGAATTTACCTATACTAAGGGTTAACAGGCCGTTTCTGTAAAGAGATTGGAAGGTAATATTTTAGGTTTGCAGACCATAAGTTCTGTCACATTTGTTTGACTCTGCTGTTGTAGCGGGAATGCAGGTAGCTTCCTAGTGCATAAACAAGCAAGTGGGAAAGACTATGTTTGAACAAAAAAAAACTTTATGTGGGAAATAAGCCTTCGGTCAGAGTTGGACAAGGACAAGTAGTTTACCAGCTGGAATAGAGCATCATCAGTAACTCAATCCGACTTCATATATTCTGTCTTCTTATCTACTGTATTGACTATATAAACTTATATCTATGTTTGGTCATAGATATGTAGTTATTTTAGTAACTTTTGTTCAACATGAAATTCTAAGACAGCCTGAGATATACAGTGATATGTAACTTTGGTGGCTTAAGCAGTAAAAAGTATCCAGATACACCTCATACCAAAAATCTGGAAATCATGATCTGGAAGCGGAGAAGTGCGCCATAGCCGAGAGGCACTGTCACTTCATTATTCATGTGGTGTGGAAGCTTCTTGTTCCTCATATTTATTATTTCATAACACAGCAGAAATTGCACTCCATGCATCTATATTCACTCCATGCATCTATATTCATGTTTATATGCCAAGCACCAACAGCATCTGGTCCTCTTTATCAAACACTTCCCAGCATACCTGCTTTTTTATCTCCAGAACTGCATTACATGGCGGCCTAACTACAAAAGAAAGCCAGGGGGAAAAGAATGCGTCCGCGTTTCAGCCTAATAGGAGGGTAGGGAAGGAGAGAGGAATAGCATCTTCGCCGTATTGCCTTTTGTGCCTGCCCCTCTAGGCCTATAGTAACTTTATTATATAAATTATGGAGTTAACTTTATTATCTAATAGCACTGTTAGCCTTGGAAGATCTTATACTACTCATTTTTATCTTTCAGAGTGGTTGGTGATGGTGGCATTATTTCCAAGGGAAAATTTGTTCCTTGAAAACAGAGTAAAGATGATATATATATGCTTAGATTCTTTTATCACATGTGCTTTTAAAATAATAACTTATACTTTGGTAACTATCTTGAAGAATAAAATTTGAATTTGACTATCAAATTAAAAACTTACTGGAGTGCCTGGGTGGCTCACTCAGTTGAGCAACTGACCTCGGCTCAGGTCATGTAATCTTGTTGTGGTCTGTGGTTTGAGCCCTGCATGTGTTGGGCTCTGTGCCGCGACAGCAACTTTGGAGCCTGGAGCCTTCTTTGGATCCTGTGTGTCACTCTCTGTCTGCCCTCCCCTGCTCACACTCTGTCTCTCTCTCTCAAAAATGAAGAAAAAAAAAATTTTTTTTTAAAGTACTAAGTCACATTGTATATAAATTAAGCGAACGCATTTATGTCTACCTGAAAGCGTTAAGGAAAGTTTTTGTGCTTTAAATAAAAAACACTGCGTATTTAGCATTTTTTTTGTGTGTGAATGTTTCAGGAAAATTCGTCTAGATAGATGATAACAAAAGAAAGGAATTTCCTTAACTCTAAGCCTGAAACATATATTAATGGAGTTAATTTTTCATTTGAAGATAATTGGAAGATTTCTTTGCATCCAGTGAATTACTATTCCCAATACAAAAGCATGGATCAACCCGCGTTATAGTGAATACCACAACCATGTAAGACCTCTTGAACAAAATGCTTCGAGGTCAGTAGCCCATATTTAGTGTTAAAACTCATTCCAGCAA